TTTTTTTTTTTTGCGGAACCAGGGATTGAACTCAGATCCTTGCGATTGCCAGTCAAGCGCTTATTCTACTGAGCCATTTCCCCGGCCCAAGAAGAAAGATATTTAGTAAAGCCAGACTACCAGGATCACACTCAGCAACTTCACCATGTATAGTATCTAAGAAATAGCCCAGGTCAGCAGTGGACTAAGGCCCTGTTTAGGCAAGCACAGGGACCAGGATTCAACACTCAGCATCTCATGCCATGCCAGCCCCACCCCCATGCTGAGCCAGCCACCGAGACCAGACGTGGTGGCGCACGCCTTTAATCCTAGAGCTGAGGAGGCTGAAAACAGGAGGATCACTACGAGTCTGAGCTATGCAATGAGACCCTGTACCAATTCACAGTTCAACCTAGGTCACAAAATATATTTAAACTGTCAGGATTTCTTTAATATAGGACAGTGGTGGTAAGCCTATAGTATGCATGTTATTGTGCTTTCCTTTTTTAGACAAAAGATATTAATGTATGAGGTGTCTTTCTAAACTAAAACCTCAGCATTCAAATGTAAATGTCTTTGCAATAACTAAATGGGTTTTGGGCTACAATTGGGGCACTTGGTCTCTAAAAGATCTGCCAGTACTGCTCTACTGACCTAGGCAGACCACCCTCTTCCCCTCCCCCCCTCTTTTCAGGTCTTCCATAGATAGCAGTGACATTTTTAAAAAATCATGTTTACTGGTACAATTTAGATATACATAATAATGACATTCATCATAGAAAATTTGTTCCTGTACATGCTATATTTTGCTTTTTCCCCTTCCATTCTCCACCTTTCAGCCACCTCTTCCCCTTTTTATCAACTTTTATTTCCATTTTATTCTTTTTTCATTTTATTCTTCTCCCTTCTTTCCTTTCCCCTTCCCCCCTCCCTATGCATTGATATTTTTGAAGAATTCAAGCAACTGTCTTGTACAATATCCTACAACCTGGACTTGTCTGACTGCTCACAATTAAGTTCGGATTCAATATTTTTGGAGAAGTATGACATAGTTGATGTTTCTTGTCATACATCACACTGTAACACATCAGATATATAAGATTAATTTGTTCACTGGCAGTGTTGCTGCAGTGATCCTCTTGTTAGAGTGAGGTCCACTCTAACATTTTCAGTCAGGGTTGGGGTATAGCTTAGTGGTAGCATGTGCAAGACCCAGGGTCCAATCCTTAGCAATACAAAAACAACAAAGTCACATGTGCAGTAACTGTAACCTCTGCACACAAGAGGCTGAGGCAAGAGGACTGTGAATTCAAGGTCAGTATGAGGTACACAGCAAGTTTGAGGCCAGTATGAACTAAGTAAGACCCTGTCTCAAAAAGCAAAACAAGGGCTGGAGAGATGGCTCAGTGGTCTAAAGCACCTACTTAGAACAAGCTTAGCAAAAGCATCAGGGACCGCGGTTCAATCCCCCAGCACCACA